ATTTTATCGAATTAGTTTGAATACGATAAACCATCCGAGAACTTTATTGATTCATTCTAATGAAAATAAATGAATATCATTGTTTATAAATTATTCAAAGATAATATTCTATACAAATATTTTACTATACAATTTTCTTTCGTTTTATTATTTAGTCAAGTTTATCATAAAAGAAAGAAGTGCAATACTTATGTGATGATTTACTCTTAAAAAAAAAAAGAATAAAGTACTCTTCTAATTCCGCTTATCTTATAAACATAAAAAAAAACAAGAATGTAACTATATTATAACATCATTTGTTACATACATTATTTCAAATTTGAATAAAAATCTTAAGAATTTTCCCCGAAAAAAAAGATCGTTCAACTATGGTAACTTCTATTTATCTTCATAGTTTACTTTTCAAAAGAAAATATCAATAGTTACTTTAATTAAAAAAATAAATAAAAACAATTTTGAAAACAAAAAAAGGTTTCGCCATTCTCTCTCTCTCTCTCTCTATTTGTATTTACATGGTACTCATGCAAAACGAATAGGCTTGTGCACAGCTGTGTTCGTTCGCACATCGTCTTCATTCATATCTTGTCTATCTATGTCGAGGGATGAAGCTAATTGTTATTACTTACTATCCTAACAACAGTCACTTTTATTTCTTTTCTCTCAATCTTTTCATACTCGCTTACATCAACAACAGACGGATATCCGACTGACGACATGTTGTTTCCTCCTTATTGTGGATAATTGTGCAGAAGAGAGAATACATACACAGATCTCATTGGAATAACAACAATTGATATTTATCCATTTGTTTATTTTGACTTTTGTTGGTACAAACGAGAAAGCGATTCATCAAAACATATATATATGTATATAAAAGAGAAGCAGCAGTCAAATATATATGATTAACAACGAACAGATACTCGCATGTATATACAAGGGTATCATCATCTTCATCATCATCATCAGAAACAGATGAAAATCTTTCAACACAATGATTGGTGACAAGAAGTCTATTCTAATATTTATGATGATACAGATGGGCAAATCTCAAAAAAAAGCAAAAAAAGAATTAATTGTCGTTTTTTTTTTGTTACTGTTTACAAGAAGTAAACATAAGAACTATCGCAACTATTTGATTTACTCGAGAATAATGATTCGCATTATACATTAATTTATTGCTTTTCATGACAGGAAAAAAAAAGAGTTGTAAAACTAGACAAGAACATATTTCTTATCAGTTTACATCTGACCGATCATTTTTCTTGTTGAGATTAAGTTTTTTTTTCATTGGTTACAATGTTATTATTATAATATATGTATATATACGTGAATATATTAATAAAAAAAAAGAAAACAAACGGGCAAAACATGCTCTCACTGACTAGTCGTCAAATATAGAATAAAGTGGCACATAGATACAAAACAAAAAAAAAGAAAAGAAAAAAGACAAAGAAAAAAAAAATTTTCATACACGAAATGTTTCTCGATTAGTTATCGTTAATACAGAATTAACATTTGTTGTTGTTGATGATGATGTTTTAGTATTTCCAATAAGATTATCAATTGTAAATGAAGTTTTTGATTTTTGATTATGATGTATAATTGGTATTGTTGGCGGAGGTGGAGGTAATATTGGTAATGGTGGTGGTAATAATGGAAAACATCGTTTTATTGATGATGATGTTGGAACAAATGGAAATGGCATTGGAGGAAATGATGGTGGTGGTGGTGCTCCTGTTGATGACACCATAGGTCCATGATGAAAACATGCTGAATGATGATGATGATGATGATGATGATTTAAACGTTTAAAACGTTTACGACGACGTAAAAATGAACCATTATCAAACATGTTTTCACTAGCAGGATCTAATGTCCAATAATTACCTTTTCCTATAAAGAAAATTTTTGTAATAATTAATACAAATGAATTTTGATTTTGTATTG